AGCTCCAGGAGTCTGGAATGGCAACACACCTACTCATGCCTCTAACTTAGCTGTATCAATTCCTTCCATGCCAAGCACAGATGACAAACAGGGAGGAGAAGGGAGGCAGAATTAGCATCCACTGATAATGTTCATGGATGAATGAATTTATAGGAAGAAATCCTTCCCTGTGAGGTGCTGAGGCACTGGCACAGGTTGCCCAGAGCAGCTGTGGCTTCTCCATCCCTGGGAGTGTTCCAGGCCAGGTTGGATGGGGCTTGGAGCAGCCTGGGCTGGTGGGAGGTGTCCCTGCCCATGGCAGGGTGGGATGGGATGAGCTCTGAGGTCCCTTCCAGTCCTGGAAAGGAATATTGATTAGCTTTTCCCCTTCTCTCCCTCACATGTCCCATGCAGACACAGAGCTGACAGTTTCCAAGGTCACTAAATCCAGGTGCCTGCAGAGATTCCTGCCCCTGGCCATGCATGGATAGCTCTAGAAGCTGTTTATGCCTCCTTGTCTGCCCCTCCCTGTCCTTCCCCAACCCCCAGGAAAATGAAACCAGTGTGATGTGCATTCTAGATAACTTCAAGATGTTTATCCCAGACCTAAGGAAGGATAATTAACTTGGAGACAGGAATAGAAACTACATGTTGACAGCGAAAGAGCAGCAGGTCTGTGGTGGGAGTGCAGGAATTACATACACAGCACCCTCCAAGGGCAGCTGGAAGAGTTTTCCAGGGAGGGGAGGAAAGAATGCTCTGGATTGTTGTGATTTATAGCTTGTAGGTGATATTCTTGTCAGCTTACAGAATTCCCAGCACATTTATCCTCATGTGGATTGTCCTTCTGGGACTGTTCCCTTTGCTAAGGTCATTAGCCACAAGTTTTGTATCTTTTTCCTACTTCTCTGGCCTCATTTCCTTCTCTTCTGTGCCTTTGCCTGTTCTACTGCATGTGGAGGTGAAATTAAAGAGCTAATTATGGCATTCAATCATTTCCTAGACTCATTTCACTCCTTCTTTCCTCTTCCCCCCCCAAAAGTAACCCAAAATGGTCTCTGTTCAGTGTCTCCTGGGCAGTGCTGGCAGTGGAGGATCTGCAGGTGCCACTGAAGTTTGGGTGTGATTTAGGGCATCACTGAGCATCTTGTCTGCATGTTTTTGAGCTCAGCTTTCAGGATCTGAGCCCTGGAATCTGTGTCTTCCAAGAAGAAGGTGAAGCCTGAGGCAGTAGGGCTGACCCTGCTATCATGTCATAGTGTTCTGAGCCCTTTGCCTTCCTCTATTCTTGTTGCCCAAAGTATGGCACAGTCATAAAATCATGGAATGGTTTGGCTTGGAAGGACCTTAAAGTCTATCCTGTGCCACCCCTGCCCTGGGCAGGGACAACTCCCACCAGCCCCATCCAACCTGGCCTGGGACACTCCCAGGGATGGAGCAGCCACAGCTGCAATGGGCAGCCTGTGCCAGTGCCTCAGCACCTCACAGGGACCAATTCCTTCCATATATCTAACCTTAACTTCTGTCAGTTTGAACCCATTGCTCCTTCTCCTGTCCCTGCAGCTCCTAACACAGATCCCTCTGCAGCTTCCCTGGAGCCCCTTCAGCTCCTGCAGGTTGCTCTGAGGTCTCCACACAACCTTCTCTTCTCCAGGCTGAACAGCCCCAACTCTCTCCTAGAGAAGCTGCTCCAAGTCTTTTGATCAGCTTTGTGGCCTCCTCTGGCCTTGCCCCAACAGTTCCGTGTCCTTCTGATGCTGGAGCACCAGCACATGCTGTTGCTCTTGTGTCCTCCTCAGTGTCAGACTGACTGTTTGGTATCTAGATGACAGGAGATCTTGCCCTGGTTCTCCTTTCGTAGGTTACTTGGAAGTCTCAAGGAGAGAAGACAGAAATCAGCCAGAAGAACAAAGCAAAGCTGCACTCTGATAAGATCAGAACATGAAATCCTGAGGTTTGAGAGTCTTGTCATGTTCTTGGTGCAGACAGGGTGCCAGCACGTGGTTAGCAAATGTTCCAGCAGCTGAGCAGCACAGAGGGATCATTGCAACACTACCAGCTTTGGCAATGTGGTGGTGTAACTGTGGCTCTTGGTTTCGACATCAGCTCGCGGCTCTCAGCAGAAAGTGCTGCCTACAACAGTTCCTCATGGCCTGCAGCAGGGCAGGAGATCGGGGGGGTTCCCTTTGAGCTAGGAAGTACTTCTGTTTGACTGCTAATAATTCATAAGTGGTTTATTTAGTGCACTAATTGAGACCTGGAATTTCAGCTGAAGGAGAGAAGGGTTAGATGGGATATGAGGCAGGAATTGCTCCCTGTGAGGTGCTGAGGCACTGGCACAGGTTGTCCAGAGCAGCTGTGGCTGCTCCATCCCTGGGAGTGTTCCAGGCCAGGCTGGATGGGGTTTGGAGCAGCCTGGGCTGGTGGGAGGTGTCCCTGCCCATGGCAGGGGGTGGGATCAACTGATCTTTAAGGTCTTTCCGACCCAAACAAGTCTGTGATTCTATGGTGACACAGCCTCACCAAAAACTGATCAAATGGAACATCCTAGGAGTGATTTCTTTGGGTTTTAACCAGGCAAAGCCAAACCATCCTGTGTATTAGTAGAAGCCTCAATGTTTTCTTGAAATCTGGAGAACACTATGAAAAAATGTGTTTGGGAGGTGCAAAATGTTCTCAGAATAGTTGGTTTGTTTCTAGCTGACACAGCAGGCTCTGGGCATGAGTGAGATGACATAGATTTGAAAGATGCTTGCAAAGTCATTTCCTTGGGTCTCTGTAGTGTGTGGGTGGCCTTGAGGACACCATCAGAGGTGGTTTGGATGTCTTACTCTCCAGGAGATCTGGGCATGACCATGTGAGTCTGGAGTTCCAAAGTGCCCTGGATCTACCTGTCCTACTTTAAGGTGTGAAACCCAAAATAGGCTTTAGAAGAACTTCACCATCACTGGGCTGGAGGAAGCTCTGAAAGCCATGTAAAGTAGCAGCTTAGTTGGTTCATTCTGTTGAGCAGCTCGAACTGCCAAGCCCTAGGTGGGTCTGCAATAAACCTTGTTCCCACCTGAGATGCTGCAGGCATCTGGGCACCCTCAGGCTGTGCCAAAGGACTCTGTCTCCATCACAGGTTGAAGCAGGATCCATCCCTACTTTCCTGTCAGGAGCTGTAGCATTCCCTTGGGATGTGGAAACCTTTTTAGGCCCAGGTGATTCATGGCCATATTTTCCAGGTGAGCATCCTGACCTCTGGTCTGTGCAGTCATGCTTGGGCCTTCCACATCCTAAGTCTTTAAGGTATTTACCACCCTAATTCCAGGGCAAGGATTCAGGACATACTCAGCGTGGTTTTGTGGGTGAGCTCAGGTGGTTCAGTGCTGGTGGTGAATCTTCTGAAGTACCCTTTGGGTGCAGCTCAGTTCTCACTCTGTGTGTCCAGTCCAGATCTCTGCATCCCGTCCTTCCTGATGAGATTCATCCCTTTCCCCATGGAAAGGGCTGTCAGGCACTGGGATGTGCTACCCAGGGAGGTGGTGGAGTCACCATCCCTGGAGGTGTCCAGGGAACTCAGGACAGGGCACTCAGAGCTCTGGCCTAGCTGAGAAGTGGTGTTGGGTCACGGGTTGGACTTGGTGGGCTTGGAGGTCTTTTCCAACCTAAGTGATCCTGGGATTCTGGGATTAAGTGAGGCCTTCCAAGGAGAGGTGCTGGGAAGTTGGTCTGAGGAGTCTTTGATGCTGCAGTGACTTTCCTGCCAAGGTAGCAGAGAGTTTGACTACAAAATGTGGATTTTGGCCAGTAAACCCCCTGAAAACAGGGAATATTCTTCAGGTGACTAGTTAGACATGGTTAAATGTCTATAAAATAAGAACTTAAACTTAGGGACTATAAACATAGGGGTTGTTTATGCAGGTGTTCCATAAATTGCTGCTTCTATCTGAGCTTCTTGTTGTAGTAGAATGAGCAAAATGCACTTAGGGTTTTGCCTTCTGTAGGAATTTGGAGCTGAAGGTGTGTAGGAGAGTTCGAAACAGGCTGTAAAAGCTTCAGTTGGAATTTAAGAGACTATTTTACATGGGAATGAGGTTTTAAAGTGGATCTTGATTTTAACAAATGGGAAACAACAAACCCCCATAATTCCACTCCCCCCCAAAAAAAAAACCCCAAGAGAAAACCACTAAAAACGGTGAAAAATCTGTGTCCTGTGCTGCTTTTGGGGAAGTGCTGTGGAAGTGGGACACAATTAGCACTGGGAATGTCTGGAGTGCAGGTCCCATGTCTCAGACCCTTCCAGCAGGTTTCTCATGGAGCTCCTGTTGCCAAGAGGCACTAAACCAACCCCCAACCATCCCAAACCAAAATAGTCACTAATTTATGAGGCTTGGAAAGAGTTTTTAACGAAGTGAGATGGGAATTAGTCCTTGGAGTTGCTTTGAAGAAACTCCAAATGGATTCTCCCTGTACCAGGATTTTCCCAAACTGATTTCTCCTCATCTCTCCATTTCCATCTGTGGCTTTATCCCACAGAAATCCCCAAAGCTGCTGTTGACCTGAGGGACTTGTTTGCCATTCCCGAAGCCTTGAAATCTTCCTGCTGGCTAATTCCAAGCCAATTCCTGGAGCCTTTCGGTCATTTGACAGTAACATTTTCCACCTTCCCTCGCGTCGTCCCATCCCAGCCAAGAGCCCTGAATGGAATTACTCCCAGTGGAAACTATGCTGCAAGAGGCTGCAGAAAGCAGCTGCTGTGCAAACCTCAGCTGGTTTTTCCATGCTCCCAAGCTGGGAATTAGCCTAGGGAAGCTGAGTAATTCCTGACGTCACCTGTCTCTCCCCTTTGGGCTGCTCAGAGCCTCCAACCATGCAGGACTTGGCCAGGAATTCGCTGGCACCACCCAGGATGCTCTGAAAGCTTTTTTTTTTCCAGAGGGGTTGGACTAGTTTCCAGTATAAACACTCCCTGCAGGACCAGCAGCTTCCTTTAAAGCCCTTGGATGCTGCAGGAATCGCCTGAGCAGAGCCCCAAAATGCACTTTAGGAACTTCCACTACAGTTTTAGCTCCCTCGTCGCCTGTGTGGGACACAGCGATGTCTTCAGCCAGGCAGAGACCAGGGTAGGTGGCAAACTTTACTTCCAGGGAATTCCAGGGACTGAGTGCTTCAAATGCTGAGGGAATTCCACTTTGGAATCCTCTGAGAGGAATAACTCTGAGTTATTAGCTGTTAGACCCTGGGGGTGAAGCTGAGCCTGATTTTACCCCAGGACATCCCTAAGTGTTTCTGGTTGTGTCCTGGAGTTTGCAGTAGATATTTGCTGATCATTTTTGCTAATGATTCACTCATTTCTATTCCACTTTCTGTTTTCCTGGGTTTATTTTTTTTTCCTGGCACTGGAAATAAATCCAAGAGAAGCAACCCAAGAGGAATTCTGAGAGTTTTAATTTCACTTCTTCTGGTCTTAGTTAAGAGCAAAAGATTCAAGCTCTGAGGAGTTTGGATAATAAAACTCTCTGAAGTTTGGATAATACTCAAACTATAAGAGGTTGTAATGATATTAAAACTGTAATGATGTGAAAAATAGACTAGAAAAATGTAAAAAATAGGCTAGAACTAAAACTATATGATATTAGAGCTCTAAAAAGCCCTCATTTGTATGTAAGTGATCCCAGAACATAATAGACCATTTTATATAGATATAAAACATATATTATGGTGTGTATATATATAAATGAGCTGTAAATGAGCTATAAATGAGATTTCTATGTAGCTATAATTTTATACACACCATCCTATGGTACAAGTAAATCCAGTCCTGACCCAGTCGTTGATTCTAAGACACTTTTTCAGGACAAACCCAACACTTTATTCAGTGTCCTGTAGCTAATGTGACATTTCAGACCTCTGCAGCATTTAAACCCAAAAAGTGACATCTGTATCTCTCTCCCAAATTTCTGTGGGTTTCAGTGTTATTGTGGACCTGAAAATGGGATTTGATTGTGGGTTTGGCTCATTGTTTGTGGTTCTCTCTGTGACAAACAGCAGCTTTGGGGGCTCTTGTTTTAGAACTCAGTCACAGGAGCTGAAGTGG